GAGTAGGTACTTCTGGCTGCGCAGATGACAGGTGCAGTGGTGGCAGCATTGGCTGGGGGATAGAAGAGAGCAGGGGTCGCAAACTATGACCCATGGGCCAATCCAGTCCCCCATCTGCCTTTGCAAATAATGTTTTACTGGAGCACAGCCATGCCCACTCATTCACGTATTAGCTTTCGCGCTACCACGGCAGAGTTGAGTAGTTGAGAGAGATCATATGCCTCTCCAAGTCTAAAATATTTACCATCTGGTCCTTTACAGAAAATATTTGCTGATCCTGAGAAAGAGAAGCACACGGGTCGATGTAGTTATTGGCAATTTTCTAGTTCTTAGCGGTGCTTCCAACCAGTTTGTTCTGGTTTGAACCCCTGTTGGCACTTCGCATTTCCACTCCAGATATACTGAATCAGAGTCTATAGGTTAACACGATACCCAGGTGATTGTTATGTATAATAAATTTTGAGGACCACTGCTCTACTAGTGGTTCTCAGAACTGGTTCCTAAGTAGCAGCATTAGCATCTCCTGAGAACTTGTTGGAAATGCAAATTCTTAGCAGGGGTTTGAACCAGAATGAACTGGTTCAAAGCCCTGTTTTTTTTTGTTTTTTTTTTTTTGGGGGGGGGTTAGTTTCACAGGTGTTTGTTATATTATGATGAATTAATGAGTGAACGCCACGCATGGGCCACTGATGGTCAAATATCACAAACGATTATTATTCTAAGCACCTGAGAATAGGGAGGAAGGCAAGAAAGGAGGGAGGGAGGGAGGAAAGTGGCAGGGAGGAAGGAAGAGAGGAAATACTCCGTTCTTAGTACGATTTAAATGGCTCTTCACCACCTATACCTTTGTTCCCCACTGTATCTCTGATGCTCAGAAAATTTTAGAGAGAGGGATAAAAGATGGCAGCCTGGGTAAAACAGACTATCGGGAAAGGGGCAGGATAAGTATACTGGATTCTGTGCGGTGGGGAAAGGCTTGGCCAAATGGGAAGACTATTAAGGATAGTAAAGAACCAGTTTTTCAAGTTCTATTCACAAAGGACTTCGCTGCAACCAAAGTGTCTTCCTGGTCTTTCCTCAGGCCCTCCCTCTTGCTTGGCCAGGCAGGGTTGTCTTCCATATGCTAGCAGCCCTGAGTCCTGGAAGTCATCCTCATTGGTAACTGCGAACGTATATTAAGACCTCTGGGCTGTGACATGCATACTTTATTTAATCCTGGGGACAATCTTGTGAGGTAAGGATGATTATTATCCCCACATTAGGGATGAGGAAACTGAGATCTGAGTGGACAAGTCACTTGCCCAGAGACATACATGGAAGGAAGAAGTTGAAATTCAAATCCAGATCCATCTCGTCACACTAGGGATTCTACTTCATGTTGTCTCAAAAAAAAAAAAAAAAAAACCACAATGAAACCCGTTTTCCCATTTTAGTCACTGTGGGCATGGGGAACATTTTGGCATATCGTAGAAGGATAGCTTCAGACATGGAAACCCCACCTTGGCACACAGCAGGGGATTTACACATTCAAAGACACGGTTCCAGTCGCTCGTGGGAAAGTTCCCAACAGTTTCAATTAGAGAACAGTCACAGTTCCTTGACGCCTGGGCATTTTATACTTGGAAAACGAGGAAAGGACCAGAACTTCAGCATCAGGGCTACGATGAAAGATTGAGAGGTATTTCGACAGTGACACTCACCAAAAGGTCAACGCAACTGGGGGAGGGGGGAGGGGCTGAGGCGCCAGCCAGCCAGCAGCTGAGAAGCATTTGTGGCACCGGGGAGAAGAGCTGTGATGTCCACTAAAGGAAGCCATGACTATGAATTTCAGGCATCAAGACCTTGTCAACACAGCTAATCCCCACAGATGTGGGCTGAATACTCCTTCAATGGCCAAACGAGTGCGCTGTGGAAGCCCTGTCAGCCTCCAGCAAGCCAATTTGTTCTCATATTTCACACTCTGCTGGCTCTGTTGCTAGATCCCCGGATAGAGGATCCATACTGGACATCCCCCAACCTTATGAGGGTTGACACAGCATGGTTAATAAGTCAACAGAATTCAGAGACCACAACCAGATTAAGAAGGCAGTTTCATTTTGGTGTCCTGGACTTCAAGCAGATTAAATAATCAAAAACCCTGAGCCATCAGGGTCATGTTTGAATGCTACAGCTGTTCACGGAGGGTTGACAAACTTTATGTGGCTCGTCGTCTGAATGGGAAAGGCAGGGGCAATCAGGGGAAGGCCCAACACGCTCAGAGGGAAGACGGGCACAATCAAAAGCTCCTCTTATGGAAAACGATCCTGCCAGACGGGCACACTGGAAGCCGCTTAAGTGGTGTCCTGAAGGCAACAACTGTTTTCTGCATTGAGGAAAAGCGCCGGCAGGATTCATAAAAGGTGAATGCGAAGCTGGACTCCGAGGCTGCCATGCGCTCGATTTACTGACCTTCATGTCAACAACGGTGGGCTACGCATTCAGCAAGGGGGCTCGTAAAGACTCCATCATGAAAGGTGAGCTGTGATGACTTCCGTCATCCCTCGGGAAAGTTCTCCATACCAGAGAGGGATGGCATCCCCTCAGAAAGGTATCTGGGGGAAATTCTCAAGTTGTCCTTCCTAAAAGACCAGACAGATGTAAACAATGTCTCCGTGAACGGGAGGGTTTATGTTTTCACCACGGTGGGTACAGAGGGAGGGGGTAGGAACTAATGCATGCAGCCATAAATGCAGGGATGCAGTTGGCATGTCCTGGGCCATTTCATAGAAAACACTGCTTGGAGGTGGACTTCATCTATTATTCCCTTCAGGAGGTGGGACCAAACAGGGGAAAAAAAATGTACAAACTGGCTACAATCTTAGAACGACAAGCCTTTCATGAATAGATTAGTGGATTCTGCGGAAAACATGTTCTCTGGCTTAAGATTTGATTTCCTGTTACTAATTAATGCTTGAGCTGCAACACTAAAGTGCAGGGTGTTGTTTCATTTCTGATAGGAAGACAGTGTGGCTTTGAAAGGAGTCATTTATCTGCAAAATTATAGAAAGGAAAATAAGGATTTTGCTCTCTTGTGTGATGGTCTGTGTCCCTTGAGCTAAATTAAATTGAGCAGAATCTCCTTCAGAAGGCTCTCCCTACCTGTCTCTACTTACCCAAAGCACTGTTAGCATCAGGAGAGATTCCAGGAACAAAGGGGAACAGGCTAAGTGTATTTGACAACCACATTGCGTATTTCCCCAGTTAAGGCCAAAACACAAATAACAACAAAAAAAAAAAAAACAAAACACCTCCATCAAGAGCTTTCTCCACGAGTAGATACAAATTCTGAGTTGTAAATATTATTTTGTGGCCTTGTGAATTCCTCTACCAATTTACAAAAATGTCTCAGCAGTATTTGCCATATTTTGAAATTCAAGTCTTGGGGGGAGGGGGGAGTGATATAGCTACTTTGGAGAATGATCTAGCAATATTTAAGAAAATGTAAAATTAACATTATCTCTGAACCCTGCAAGGAGACTCCTGCATGTTCCAGAGACCTTGCCCCACATGCCACAGGCAGCTCCGTGCGAGGAAGCTCTTTGCAGCCTTGTGATGGAGAAAAACTGAAAGAACTCAAATGCCCCCCCAGTAAGGGAATGGCTCAATATTAAACTTGGATGCTCAAGCCATGGAATACTAGACAGCAGTTAAAAGGAAGAAATCAGCTCTCTATATATCCATGTGAATAGATCTCAAATCTGTGTTGGACAGACAGGGTGAGTTACAGAAAGATACATGCAGACACCTACATTTAGGTAGCTTTAAAAGCCACTATAGGACACAGAGACAGTGTAAGCGAATGTGTAAATATGAGTATCTGACAGGCAGGAGAGCACAGCAGATAAGAACCCAGACAGACTCTAGAACCAGACCGCCTGGGTTCAAATCATGTCTCTACCACTTACTATCTGTGTGACCCTGGGCAAGTGGTTTAGTGTCTCTGTGCATCAGTTTCCTCACCTATAAAGGGAAGACAATAATAGACCCAGCTTTACAAGGTTATGAGGACAGAATTAATTAGCATATTGTATTAAGCACTTAGAATGGTGCCTGTCTCAAAACAAATGCTATATAATATCTGCTATTGTTGTTATTAAGTATTGCTTTAAAAAGAGCTGGAGGAATACATCAGTAATGGTGGTGCGCTGGCTCATGTCAGGAACAAGATTTGGGGGCTAGTCAAAAGGGACTTCAGCTGCCTCAGTCATGCGTTGCTTCTTTGAGTCAAAAGGACAAGAGATGAAGACACTTGATAACCTGTGAATGGGTGTCACTATTGTGTCATGGGGACACGTATTGTTTACTATATTATTCTTAATGCTTTTTCTGAGTTTTTAAAATTTCTCAAATAAAAAAGGAGCAGAGTCCGTCATCATTCATAGGATTACACCTGCAAGGATGGACATCAATACTTTAAGAATGCTTTAGAACTACCCTGTCTAATATGGTAACCACTAGCCACATGGGGCTCTTTCAGTTAATTAAAATTAAAAACAAACTAAAATTCAGTTCCTTGGTTGCAGCGGTTACATTTCAAGAGCTCAGCAGCCACACGTAGCTTGAGGCGGCAATATTAAACAGCAACAGATAGAGAACATTCCCGTCATCACAGCACGTTCTATTGGATAGTGCTGCTCTGGAGCACACATCTCAGAAATGCGGAGAGCTGAAATTCCTCTCACTCCCTTTTACACTCTGGCCCCAGGTAATTCTAGGGCACCTTCCAAAGGGCACGTGCACAGAAAGGATTTTTTTTCCACCTTCCTCCTTGAAATACTTAAGTCTCTCATTTTTCGATTACTGAGCCACTGAGAAAGTGTCTTTTCCAAGGCTCTGACAGTAGCAGAGTTTGCAAGAGTTCCCGTCACTGGGAATGAACTCAGTCCAGCCCGACTCTTCCAAAGACAGTGAGCGACTGGACCTGCCTTCCAGGTTGTAGGTGTTACCTGTCTCAGTGTCACATGTCACCTGTGAATTCAAGGCGGGGGGACCACTCCTTACAAACTGGATCCCACCTCAATCTTTGTCTATTTGTCGTAGGTGAACTGCTCCTGCTTTCCAGTGCCATTTGCCTGCTCTGCGGGGCGTGTGGCTGCCCAGAGAAGTGCCGCTGTCACTCAGAGGCCGTAGACTGCAGCCGACAGGGTCTGGCTGAAGTCCCCTGTGGTTTGCCGCCTCAGACTCTAACACTGCACTTACAAGATAACCAGATCCACCAGCTTCCTGCTTTTGCGTTTAGGTCAGTGCCAAGGCTCGTGACCTTGAACTTGTCCAACAATTCCCTGTCGACTCTGGCCCCTGGAGCTTTCCATGGTCTTCAGCACCTGCAGGTTTTAAACCTAACCCAGAACTCCCTGCATTCCCTGGAAAACAGACTTTTCCATCCCCTCCGACAGCTGAGGGAGCTTGATCTGTCATCAAACAACATGAGCCACCTTCCTACATCCCTGGGTGAGCCTTGGGAGAATCTAACCGTATTTGCAGTTCAACAAAACCAGCTTCAGCACCTAGATCGAGCTCTCCTAGAATCCATGCCCCACGTGAGGCTTTTGTTTCTCAAGGACAACCTCTGGAAATGCAATTGCCACTTGCTGGGTCTTAAACTCTGGCTGGAGAAATTCGTCTATAAAGGTCAGTAATGTCTATTTGGAAACCCCCATCTGTGAGTTCAGCCTGGGAGAACCTCACCTATTCTCTATGCATTAGAAGGCATGTTGAGCAGTGTGCAAGAGGTCCATTTAAGCTTTTCACATCGATGTCATTTCATGGTATGGCAGAAGACACAAGCAGGTCATTAGAGGGTGTTTACATTCAGGTTTTCAAAGTCATCCACAAAGATGAGTCACAGAGGTATCTTTCTACTGTTTGATTAACACAACATGAAGTTACTTATCTGGGAACTTTCAAGGGAGAAATTCAGTCACCACCTGAACAGATGCTCAACCCCAAAGTAGCATCAAATTCTAATTTTTATGTGTAATCCAACTGGGGGCATAGGTATCTCTCCCTTGGGTTTTTTTTTTTCCCCCTCTATGTCTGTTTCTACCCATTACCAAAAAAAAAACAAAAAAACAAAAAACAACAACAAAAAAAAACCCACTGCCGTCAAGTCGACTCCAACTCATAGCGACCCTACAGGACAGAGTAGAACCACCCCATAGAGTTTCCAAGGGGCACCTGGTAGATTCCAACTGCCGAACTTTTGGTTAGCAGATGTAGCTCTTAACCACGATGCCACCAGGGTTTCCTTCTACCCACTGGGTAGCTATAAATCTTCCCTAAGATTATCCTTTCTGTTTTAGCAAGTACCACCGTTACTGAAATGGGTCCAACAGGGCCCCTCTCTAAAGTTACTACTTCTTTAACGAGATGCCAAAAGCAAACCAAGGGCTCCTAGAATATTAAAGGTGGAAGGGCTCTCGAGATCACCCAGGGATCAGCAAACTACAGCCCGAGGGCCAAATCCAGACTGCCACCTGTTTTGTAAATACAGTTTTTGGAACACAGACATGCCTATTTATTATGTATTGTCTGTGGCTGCTTTTACATGAAGCTGAGCAGTTGTGGCAGAGACGGTATGCCAAATCTTAAATATTTACTATCTAGCTCTTTCTAGAAAAGTTAGCCGACCCCTTCAAACCCAAAGCTACCCTGTTATCAGTAAGAAACGGAGGTCCAGAGAGGTTCAATGACTTGCTCAAGATCACAGATGATAATAGAATGCATGGCATTTGGCTCTTGGCCCTAGATTCTTTCCTCTACATCCCAGTGCTTCTCTCTTCCTAACTTTCAAGCCATCATTCATTCACGCATTCATTCTTATATCTGAGTGCCTCTTATGTGCCAGGCACTTTTCTAGGCACTGGGAAAAGAGCAGTCAACGAGAAAATTCCTATTATCATGGAGATTACATTCTGGTGTAGATATATGAAGGGGCTCCTGGGTGGCACAGAGGATTAAGCACTGGACTACTAACCCATCCAGAGATGCCTCGAAAGTAAGGCCTGGCAATCTGCTTCTAAAAGGTCACAGCATTGAAAACCCTATGGAGCAGTTCTACTCTGCATATTTGGGGTCATCGTGAGTCAGAATTGGCTCGACAGCACTAACAACAACCCAGAGACATGTTAAATACCATAACAAATAATACAGTTCAGATAGCAGTTATGCTACGAAGACAAGGTAAGGGGAAAGAATGTCATGGGATGGGGAGTCCACTGTAGATAAGATGGTCAGGGAAGACCTCTCTAAGGACGTACTATTGATTAGCAGGACCTAAATCATGAAAAGGAATGAACCATGAGATAATTGGGGGAAAGGACACTGCATTAGCTTACTAGCGCTTCCGGAACAGTACCACACATTGGTGGCTAAAAAAAAGAAAAGAAACATTATCTCATGGTTCTGGAGACTAGCAGTCTGAATTCAAGGTGTCAGCCAGGCCACACTCTCTGAAGGGCTCTAGGGGAAGCTAGAGGAAGATCCTTCCTTGCCTCTTCCTAACTTCTGGTGGTTCCTTACCATCCCTGGTGTTCTTGGCTTACAGATGCATCACTCCAATCCCTGCTTCTGTCTTCACGTGGTGGGTCTCCCTTCTGTGTGTTCTGTCTCTGTGTCTCTCCTCCTCTTTTATAAGGACACCACTCATCCTGGATTAGTACCCACCCTACTCCAGGGCGACCGCATGTTAACCGATAATATCTTCGAAGACCCTGTTTCCAAACAGGGTCATATTGACAGGCACCAGGGGTTAAGACTTTACCATGAGGTTAGGACTCCCATCTTTCTGGGAGACACAATCCAATCCAACAGACAACAAGTGCAAAGGGTCTCATGGGAAAGTAAGCTTGGCTGGGCCGAGGGATAAAAGAAGGGCTAGGACAGAGGAAGAGAGTGAGAGAGGGGACAAAGATAAGGCAACACAAGAACTCAGGGGCCAGATCACGTAGGAATGTGCAGAACAAGGCTAGGATGTTTGGATTTTACTCTAAGTGACATGGAAAGCCCTGGAAGACTTTTAATCAGGGGAACAACATGATCCGATTGATTACATTTTAAAAGGTCACTCGGTGACTCTGGCGAGAGCAGTCCACAGGCTGCAGAATAAGAAGCAGAGAGATGAGAGAGAGAGCCATTTCAGTCATCCAGGCAAGAGACAGTGGTGGCCCAAAATAGCGCGGTGAAAAGAGATCACCTATGGAGGATATCTGGAATATTGAACTGGGAGAAATTGCCAATGGGTTGGAGTGGGAGAGGAGAAAAACAAAGTGAATTAGGAGATGCTTTTTGTTTTCTCCTGCAGGAGTAACCAGATAAATGGCAGTGCCATTAGCTGTTAGGGGGCAGATGGAGGGGTGGGGGACCAGGTAAGTGTGGGTGGGAGGTAGCAGGTCAGGAGTTCAGTTTGGGGCATGGCAAGTTTGAGATGCCCACTGCATACCCAAGGGAGGTGCTGAGTTGGTGGCTGCACACTGGCATCTGTAGCTCAGGAAGACGTCAGAGCTACAGGTAAGAACTGGGGCATCGATAGCACCCGGCTGGTTGCAACAGTTACACAGAGGGAACCAGCTCAGAGCACACAATGGGTTCCAATTAACAACACTGAATTAAGAATTCCTCACCACAATTTCTTGAGCATAACCAGGATTGTGAGGATTGCACAGGACGGGGCAGTGTTTCGTTCTGTTGTACACAGGGTCGCTATGAGTCAGAACCGACTCAACAGCACCTAACAGCAACAACTGAACAATACAATCCAGAAAACCAAACCCATTCCCACCGAGTTGATTCCGACTCACAGGGACCCTATCGGACAGAGCACAACTGCTCCACAGCGTTTCCAAGGCTGTAATCTTCAGAGATGCAGACCGCCCCATCTTTCTCCTGTGGAGCTGCCGGTAGGTTTGAACTGCTGACCTTTCGGTTAGCAGTGGAGCTCTTAACCACTATGCCACCAGGGCTCCTTCAACAATACCACAGAAATAATATATCACTAACCAGCTAATGTTAAAGTTAACCTACAACGGCAGCTTTCTCTGGAGGAAGGTAAAATCAATATGGGGTAATGAGTCTTCCAAAAACCAAACGAAACCCACTGCCCTTGAGTCAATTCTGACTCACAGTGACCCTATAGGACAGAGTAGAACTGCCCAACAGGGTTTCCAAGGAGCGGCCGGTGAATTCCAACTACCGACTCTTTGGTTAGCAGCCATAGCTCTTAACCACTGTGCTACCAGGGCTCCAATTAGTTTAAGATGTGCCAAAACAACTAGAAAGAAAACCCAAATGGATGCTAAACGTGGAACACAATCTGATTACCCATATATTGAATAAAGGCAAAATAAGAAAGCAGATGTTAGTCAAGAACTTTCTGAAGAAAAATAAACAGACACAAACACTAACTGTGTCAGTCAGCGCAGGTTACATGCGGTCACAGACAGCTCTGGATCTTAGCAACGCCACAGAATAAACGTCTGTTGCTCAGTCATTTCGGAGTCCAAAGAAACTGGTTTTCCATGCAGTCATTCAGGGGCTTAAGCTCCTTCCAGCCTGTGATGCTGCCAACTTCACCACACGGCCTCTCTTTCTGGTACCATGCTTCCTAAGACTCTTCAGACCAACTTTGTCAAGAGGGGTACCAATATTTGCAGCCACCCTGGAGGAGGTGTTTAAGGTAGCCAACAGAAACTGAGCCACAGATCCTCGGGGAGTTCTACCCAGAGAGCTTTACAGGTGGACACTGCTGAGCGTCACTGTGTCAACTCCTCTGGCCTCACAACACTCCAGAGAGGAGGAAGTGGAGACAGACAGTGAGCAAAGAGGGAAAACCTGGGACCAAGGGGGAGGACAGGGTTTGGGTCTTCATTCTTCCATTTATGACCTGTGTGAGCTTGGACAAGAATGACTCATTATAGCGCAGTTGTGAGGACTTAAAAGTGCTTTGTAAACTATCAAGTCAGACACACGTATGATGTTTTTACAGCAGAAAATTTAGGCAGAGAAGTTTATTTGCCCAAGGTCAAACAGTACATCAGCAGTCCAATGAGGCAAACAGATTCTGTTAGCCCAACGTTCTTTCCAGAAAAGAATGGCTACGCACCCAAATCCCCTCTGAACACCAGCAGTCTACATATCTGAGGAAATCAATCACCTTACAAGGAGTGGAAACTGAGTTTAACAACCCGTTGGAAAGTTCGCTACTCAAAGTAGTAAATGTTTCAAGGCCCGAGGAGACACATTAATTAAACTTAATCCCATGAACTAAATTAATATTACTGTCAAATCTTCAGATACACAAAAGACTCAAAGGGCCATTCCACCTCCCCATTTGGCATTCCTGAGTAGTGCTGCTAGACACATAGGGTCTTTGTAATTAACACACAACATCACAACAATGGCCATTTGTTCTTTTTTTTTTTCCCCTGAGATTTCCAATGGGAATTTGGTACAAAAGATTTCTTGTCTGGAGGAGTTCATTAGGGGAACAGACACGCCACTGCTTTCGGCAACACTGCCCTCAGTGTTGGCATCCACGCCCTCCTTCTTGTCAGCTTTTGCATTGTTTCTCCCCCAGCATTTATTAGATAAAGGTAACTTGGCTTCTAATGAATTCTTGGTCATAAGTAATTGCCAATTTAGTGTGTGGCATTTTTAGCATTCAGCCAATTTAGAAATCCTAAAATATGCTCGTTAAATTCTTTGATTGCAGGAGGAAAAAAAAAGGTACTGTATAAATTCCATCTGCCTCCATTTTTGCAGCCTGAATATTCTGGAACTCAGTTGTATCAAGGCTCTGTTATCATCCTTTGCTCTTGTTTTTTAAAGGGGGAAGGACGGATGGCGTCATCTGTGCGTCACCAGACACCTGGAAGGGAGAGAACCTCCTTACAATCCCTCACGAGCTGTATCTGCCCTGCCCTTCTCCTCCTCCGGACCTGGTACCGGCACAGGCTCAGCAGCCAGGCTCTGCTCATGGCGCCGCCCTGAGGCCTCCAGAGAGCCGCCCCGCAGGGGAGCTCGACCACTTGGAGTGTGAGCTCAAGCCCAGACGGAGGCCCGCCAACCTGCGGTACGCCGCGGCCACCATCGTCATCACCGGGGCTGTGTGTGGGATTGTGTGTCTCCTGATGCTGGTGGCCACCATCTATGGCTGCACCTACGCGGCTATCACAGCCCAATACCCTGGGCGACCCTTGGCTCCAACTGATGAGCCTGGGGAGACGGGAGGAAAGGAGCTACTTGACAGCTCACCAGCCTGAGCACTTCATCGCAAATACAAATGGTTCTTTTAGGCCAGGAGAAAGTGTCTGAGTAGGGCTTATGTGTTCACTGTAACTGCCTCCTTTTGCTTTTTCCAAAGTTGGAAGGGAGAGTTGTATCTGTAAAAAAATATTCCTGGGAAGAAATTTATGCCTCAGTTTTAAAAATACCATAGATGAAATAGAGATGATACTTGTGCTCTGTGCCTGTGAAGCTATGGCAGTTTTTCCATGGGGAGTGGGTAGGGAAGGCCAGACGCAGAAAGGGAGGATATCGTCTCTCTCAGGTCCTTGTCCCTGGACTGAGCTGCTTTTACAGAACAAGACAACTTCAAACACGTGTGCCAGTCAGCATTCCTGGGAGCTTTACGATCCATGGGAAAAATGCCCAATTTTGAGTGCTTGAGAAGAGGCTGGTGATATTACCCGAGGGGCACTGGATGCCTCTATAATTCAAGTTCATGCTAGATTGGTGATACTTTCAGATGTTGTATACGTTATATATTTAATGGGAGGGTCTGATGGTTGGGAATTGCGTAGCTTGCCACAAGTGTCAGATTATATTTAATTTTCTAAATCAGAAAACCATTTGGGGCTTTCTAGGCCACAGAGGAAGAAGAAGGTTCCATGTCTGGATAATGGGACTCAGGCCAGAGTCTGGGGAAGTTTTCTGATGCGCGGGTAAATAATATATAAACAAACACCAGGAGGATGGGAAGCTGGAATTCAGGGCAGATATTACCAAAAGGCCATATCCACCAAGTGATTGGAACCTTCCATTTATAAGCCGCACAGCAGGAACGAATTTAGGGCGGGCTGAGAGCGAGATAATGGCTTTTGTGGATCTGTATCTACATAAGGAGCACAGAGTGCATAGCCCTGTACAACCACACCCACCCATGAACAGACGAAGCAATCAGTTTACCCACTAATGAAACGCAGCCGTGTGAGGGTGGAAGCCAGCAGCTGTTGACCACCACCCAGATTTTCTGCTCCACACTCTGGGATAGGAAGTAAGGAGGAAGTCTGAAGAGAGTGGGAATTACCAGGAGACTGGAGATTCGTGGCGGCAGCCATCCTGAACATTATTTAGGCCGTGGTTTAAAAAAAACAGGTGTGGCTTGCTTTACTTTCAGAGACAGGGTCCTGAAGAGTTGCATGCAAAGTGAATTTTTGTAAATTGAATCATCATTTTAATGCAGCAGGGGAGCTCGCTATTTAAAGGATCCTTTCGTGGAATCTTTCTGTCATGGAAGTAATTGGCTCCAGATTTGTGCATTTTGTAAATTTTCATTTTTCTCATGCTTGGTTTTCTTAAAGTGGAACCTACTGGCTGTCTCTCATGATACCTCATCTCATACTTAGAGTCACCTGTTAGTATTAAAATCATTTCACAAAGGAGGGCATAGCACAGAGGAATTAAGGACATATTAGAAGCAGAGAACGGCAAATATAAGGCAAGCTGTCTCTTCAGAGGCCATGACAGACATCGCTAATCAATCAAGCACTCCTCCCAGCTGAGCCTCAATGCACCACAGATGCCTTCTTAAGACAGCACTGTAGGCAACCAGAACTATTCAATTGGAGTTGGTTCAAAGGATAAAACACATTTGCCATTCAGGGTACTGAGTCTACATTCACTCCTTCAGGCCTTGTAAAAATTGCTTTCGATACTAAGCCAGTTGTCCATTCCCTGACCTTCAATGTGAACAGAAGGTCCAGACATGGAGGAGTCTTTTCTGCTTGTCTTATACAGCCTGAGCCATGCCCACCAGTGTAAAGAGACCAGAAGGAAATGGACAGGTGAATCCATCACGCCCCACTCGGCAGGCCTCACACTCATGCACCTCTCCTCATCACAGAGGTGAGGTACGCTCATGTGGGCCCTACAGAGACCCATAGGCTAAAGACAGGCCATCTTCTTGGAGCAGCCATTTTGCTAGATAATTTCTCTGGGGGAAAGAGTTCAAACTTTGAAGGTAAGGTTGTTTTTGTTTTCCCTTAATGTTACAATAAACCTGGGTATAATTAAGGAGTAGATTGAAAAATCAGCATTAAGTTTAAGATTTAAAAAAGAAACCCCAGTCTTGTACTGGCTTGGTGCCAGGCCCTGGGTGACTCTTCTCAGCTCCCCTATGTGGGGCACGTCAGCAGGCGAGGCTGAGAATACTGCTCCAAGGACACACTGCCTGTTTTCCCGGTGAAAATCTTCCCTTCCGCTGCCCTGCATCGTGAAGCCTAGGCCAAGAGCTCAGTATGAGAAAAGAGATTTAGAAAGCCCTTTTACACGTTGTCACAATTCCACCAAACGTTTCCAGAGCTCCCACTGTGGACCAGCATGATGCGAGGGGTTCTGTGAGCACTGTTCTAGGTAATCCTAACAACCAGCCCGTGACGACTGGAACAGATATCACGTAAGTTGGAACTACAGAGACCAATGATGCACGCTTCCTCTCACCGCTATGACTGAAGAGTGCAAGGGCAATCTCCCCTGCCAGAGGTTCAGTGACACTGTAGGTCAGTCCTGTCACCCTGCCCACAGTGATTACACGAGAGAGCTGCCGATACACCAAAGAAAACTCCAAAAGTTGCTAGAACCCTTGCTTGTCAACACCCACGTCCTATTAGATTTCTAAGTACAGATGCTGACTCCGCAAACAGATTTCCTGCTTTATGGGTAATCTTTAAGGAAAATGATTAACTGAGGCATTCACATATTCAGATTTCTATCTTTTGCCTACCGTCACCGCAAACAGCAGTTGGCAACGAAAATAATTACCTACCCTGAAATGTCAACAGCCTTTCAGCACAGAAAAATATAAATCAAATTGTTTAGATTAACAAATGCAGAGTTATCATTTGTTAATATGAGGAATGAAATGTTTTAACTGTAGAGAACACTGCAGATGAAAAGACTCAATCTGCGGAGTATTCTGTGAGAACCACAAATTATCTTTCACAACTGCTACGGCTCATGAGGGGTAATTTGCAAACGCCTCATAGATTATTTTCAGCTGTTTATTGCTGCTGTCATATTCATCCATGTCCCTATAAAAATGCCCTTCCGTCTCAGAGCCTGGACAAAAATCATGATTGGTGTTGTTGCTGAAAAAGCTGCCTAAAATACGGTTTTTCATCCTACCTTCATGGGATAATATACTGTCCGCTGGTGCTTTTTGCTTTGCCAGAGATCACAAATTCACAACCCAGTTGCCATTGAGTCGATTCCAACTCATGGCGACCCCATGTGTGTCAGAGTAGAACTGTGCACCACAGGGTTTTCAATCGTTGATTTTTTGGAAGGAGATCACCAGGTCTTTCTTCCAAGATACCTCTCAGTGGACTCAAACCTCTACCCTTTCGGTTAGTGGCCAAGCATGTTAACCATTTATACCACCCAGCAACTCCACAAATTCACCATCGCAGGTCCAAATACATGCTGCAGCTACCTGCAGTGAGGCACAGGAGTGGGGAACACGAGGGATACGCCCAGACACAGAAACTGGGGAGAAACAGTTTTAAAAGAAAGTTGTTGAAATTAAGGCAAATATCACTGACCCTGCAGGCAGAATCTCATGCCTGTGATTATAAAATGCCAGTGGACAATTGGGTGTTTTATTTCTCCTTATAAAAATAGAAGATTGAAAAGTGACTCACATACAGACTTCCTCTTGAAGGTTCACGAAAATCAAATCTCATTGCTTCAAGTTAACCATGTTGCCCCAAAAACAAGACACCCTTGTCCTAGATCCTTAATATCAAAGGAAGTGGCTAAATCAATTTCTCAAATAATCTATCTGTAGCACATATTAACATAATTATACAACAACTGTTAGAAACCCATAACTCCCTGTTGCAGGTCAGGAAATTACTGTTTCCAGTTTGGTCAAACCCACCAGCCTATCCACTGCTAGATGCTATTAGACAGAACCTACCAGAAAATGATATTCCAACCCCACGTGGCATCACTGGGCTGAGGTTTATATGCACAACTTCAGGGAACCATCCTGTTTGACCTTTTGATGAAAACGCTTTATTTTTTTATGCTCAAATATCAATGAGGTCTCAAAGAAACCTGTCCTATTCAAAGAAGCAGTCTTACAATCCACCACTCCCCTTACAGATTCTTGACTGGACCATCCATTCCTGCTTTTCAGTCCAATGACACTGAATATTCATTTGGATGGATAGGATGTTGCCCAGCTACAAAGGTCTATCAAGAAGACCCAGAAAAAGAATCAGAGGATTGCAGAGCTGGGAAGGGCCTTGGAGAGCGTTCAGTCTACAGCTGGCAAATCCTGTAACAGTGACCACCAGTCTCCACCCACAGCAAACACTGCTAATAGATCATGGCAAGCTTATCTGCTGAGCCCAGACAAGACCTCAGAATCCTTTTAAGTCTGTTTTCCAGGTACACGCTAGTGATCAACTGGAGTTGACATATGAGATTAAACCTATCTGCTACTCTGATATAGTTCATCTCCTTATTTTACAGATGGAAAATAGAAGCAAGAAAAAGGAAAGGAACTCGCCAAAAATTACGCACATAATTAATTACAGGCCTGATAAATGTGGTTGCAGAAGCATGGGGTTAGCAAGGATAATACAACCCTTTCTGTTCTTTGTTCATTCTGTGTGAACTGCAACACTGAGACTGGGAGATTGTCCTATTAATTATCTGGATAATGACAATTATAGCATCATCATCAACATTTATTGAGCACGCAGCTTTGTGCGAGGTATTTTCTAGGAGTGAAACATACATTCTCTAAGGCTCATACTGACCAAAACGTGGGTATTTTACTACCATATTTCAGACGAAGAGACACCATTAGAGAGTTTGTCATCTACTCAAGGTTACACCAAAAGCAAGCGGTGGAGTAGGAATTTGGATCCAAGTCTTCCCAAGAACAAAACCTGGGCACTTTCCAGGATGTGACAGGTTCAAAGCAGTCAGAATTGGGATCCTTTCCCTGGCACTGCCAGCACTCACCTCAAAA